GGGCTGTGTGGCCGTCTTTAAAGTGAGAGGGTGAGAGTGAGATGCTGCCGACGCAGTGGCCAATAAAGCTGACCTTGGCAAAGCTCACCCTGGGGTCAAGGTGAAGGGGATGAGAACACAGAGTGGCAGACTGTGTCCAGGGTGAAAACGCCCCGACCGGCCCCAGGGCCGCCTGAGCCAGGAGCTGCCCTGTCTCCTAAATATAAAGAACAAGGTTGCTGGGGCCAGCAGGAGCATGGTGGTTAAGGGGCTGGATCCCCACATGGCCACCCAAGGTTCGGTCCCAGACTTGGAATCACAACCAAAAAATAATTTATTTTTCGGGAACCAGCAGTTAGCATAATGGCTATGGTACTGGACTCCCACGTAGTCCACCGCGGTTCGCGTCCCGGACCCGGTGACTTAAAACTCACGCCGGGCACATATGCTTGCGTGCCCAAGATCCCGAGAGGAGAATGGAGGAGAAGGGATTGCGGCGTGACCATCCCCCCTGGGGGGTGATTTCTCGCTTTCTGTCTCTCTGCAGCGTGACCATCCCCCCTGAGGGGTGATTTCTTGCTTTCCGTCTCTATGTCTCTCTCTGTCTGTGTGGCGAGCACACGCGCCCTATAGCGAAAAACCTCTCCAAAAAATAAAAATAAAAAAAGAAAATAATTTATTTTTTTAAGAGAGAGCTGGCAGGGAGTGTGGTGGTTAAGGTGCTGGATTCCCACATGGCAGGCTGTGGTTCAAGTCCTGGACCTGGCGGCTTGCTTTCTCACTTTCCCTTTCTTTGTCTGGTCAAATTAATAATAACAAATGAAATTAAATAAATAAATACTTTTTAAAAAAGAAAACAAGAAAGACCGTGGTGCAGGGCCTACAATAAATGCTCAATTCATGTTTGCTAAATAAACCTGATGCACGGGGCAGGGCCTCTCAAAGGCTCTTCGAGGAACAGCTACTTTGAAAACACTAATGCCCAAGGAAAGAGAAGTGCCTTGATAAAAACAGGCTTGGGAAGCTCTGGGTCCCACAGCCGAGGACGAGAGGCCCGTGGTGTGCCGGCCCCGGCGTAGAGGGTGTTTTGCAAACACCGACGTTTATTGCTGTCCGGATGGATATTAAACAACCGCACACACCCCACGCAGGACTCCGGGAAACAGCCCGAGCGTCCTGGAGGTAGTGAGTGGCTGCCAGCTCTGTGCCCGGGTCTGTCTGACCCCCAAACCTGTACCCTTGCTGTCATCAGTCACCGCACCCCTGGCCTGACAGGTGAGAGGTGAGTTTGAACACCCACATGCTCGCATAGCCGGAGAAGCGAGGGCAAGAGCCCCATCCCTCAGCGTTTCCACTCCTTCCTTCCAAGAAGCCCAATGTTGTACCGCCGGCAGCAGTGGGACTGAGGGATCCACTCCTTCCTTCCAGGAAGCCCAGTGCTGTACCGCCGGCAGCCGTGGGACTGAGGGGGCCACTCCTTCCTTCCGGGAAGCCCAGTGCTGTACCGCCGGCAGCCGTGGGACTGAGGGGGCCACTCCTTCCTTCCGGGAAGCCCAGTGCTGTACCGCCGGCAGCCGTGGGACTGAGGGGGCCACTCCTTCCTTCCGGGAAGCCCAGTGCTGTACCGCCGGCAGCCGTGGGACTGAGGGGGCCACTCCTTCCTTCCGGGAAGCCCAGTGCTGTACCGCCGGCAGCAGTGGGACTGAGGGGGAGACCCGGGCGCCGGCTCTGCCCGTCTCACACAGCTCACAGCCCTTACCTCCCAGCCGGGCAGCGAAGCATCCATGGGGCGGGCTGCTCATGCCCCTTCCCCAGGACGCACAGCTGAACAAGGGCTCTTCCTCTCCCCGGACCCGAACCAGCACCAGGTGGTTCAGGCTGGTACACACCGACTCCTGCTTGTCCTCGGGGCTAACTCAAAGCGCTATCCACACAAATCTCAAACCCAAACGCACTCCTTGTTCTGGAGAGAGCGGTCCCCCTGCAAACATCCCAACTCTGACAGCCCACCGCATCACCTGAGGCAAAGCTCCCGACTTCCTTCTGCTTCCCGCCAGCTCCATCTCTGAACTGCCAGGAGGGAACAGGATCCACTCGCCCTCAGAAAGACAGCTGCCTGGAAGGGGGCAGGTGTAGACAGCTTCCTTCCAGCTCTGCCCAGCACAGGGGCATGGAGCCTAGGGGTCAAGCCCCCCCAGCCCAGGCACCAGATCAGGGGGTCGGAGGGCTCTCTCCGGCCCACGTTGGTGCAGGGAGGGGAGCCTCGGCCAGAACATCGCCCAGGAAAAGCCCCCGCAGAACCGTGCGCACGCTGCCGCTCACGCCCACGCCGCGAGGCTGGAAGCCCGGCGAGTCACCTGTGAACAGGTATCACCCTGGCAGACACGGCCGAGGAGGTCCCAGTCAGGCGTCACCGAACGCACCCGCCAGAGGTACCACGTCGGCCTGGAGGTCCCCAGGCCGGTGCGCGGGGTCGGGGGCCGCCTGCCGGGGAAAGGCTCACGGTGGGGCTGAGTCCTGCTCCCCTCCCCATCCACGGGTCTCCTCCGTGGACTCGCAGCTTCCACGCCTGGGAGCCGGCCTTCGGTAGAGGCCCTTCGCTTCCGCGCCGGCTTAGCACTTAAAACAGGCAACAGCCCTCCTCCTGCGCCCCCTCTTCCAGGCCGGCAACAGGTCCAGCGGAAAAAGGGCAGGGGTGCTGGGCCTCTTCCGTCGCGGGTGTCCTCAGTCCGCCTCTCTCTTTCAGTAACCCAGACGCCCTGTCCCCCAAAGTCTCTGGCATCCAGCCCCACCCGACCCGGCGGGCCGCACGGTTTCTGCCATCCCGAGGCGCACCGCCTCCACGTGCCTCACTCCTCCCAGCCTGGTCCCTGCGGGCGCTCCTTACGCACCGCGCGGGGCACCTGTTCCCGGGCAAAGCCCCGCAAGTGCCCGGCCCAGCGCCAGTAACCCAGACGCCCTGTCCCCCAAAGTCTCTGGCATCCAGCCCCACCCGACCCGGCGGGCCGCACGGTTTCTGCCATCCCGAGGCGCACCGCCTCCACGTGCCTCACTCCTCCCAGCCTGGTCCCTGCGGGCGCTCCTTACGCACCGCGCGGGGCACCTGTTCCCGGGCAAAGCCCCGCAAGTGCCCGGCCCAGCGCCCAGCCTTACCAGTCCCGGGGTGCGCCCA